CACCCAGTTCGGCACACCCCTCACACGTTTCGTGGCCCCATAGGGAGCTCCACCAAAGGCCCCAGTGCCGCCGCCCGCATGCGTCAGCCACACTCAATTCGGCACACCCCTCACACGTTTCGTGGCCCCATAGGGAGCTCCACCGAAGGCCCCAGTGCCGCCGCCCGCATGCGTCAGCCACACCCAATTCGGCACACCCCTCACACCTTTCGTGGCCCCATAGGGAGCTCCACCGAAGGCCCCAGTGCCGCCGCCCGCATGCGTCAGCCACACCCATTCGGCACACCCCTCACACGCTTCGTGGCCCCATAGGGAGCTGGCCCCAGTGCTAGGGAGCTCCACCGAAGGCCCAGCTCCACCGAAGTGCCTCCGCCCGCATGCGTCAGCCACATCCACTTCGGCACACCCCTCACACGTTTCGTGGCCCCAGCCCGCATGCGTCAGCCACACCCATTTCGGCACACCCCTCACACGCTTCGTGGCCCCATAGGGAGCTCCACCGAAGGCCCCAGTGCCACCGCTCGCATGCGTCCCGCACACCCATTTCGGCACCTCCACCAAACACAGCGTTTCGTGGCCCCACAAGGGACCTCCACCGAAGGCCCCAGTGGTGCCGCCCGCATGCGTCACCCCCACCCCAGCACAGCATTTCGTGGCCCCACAGGGAGCTCCGCCGAAGGCCCCAGTGGTGCCGCCCGCATGCGCCACCCCCACCCAGCACAGCGTTTCGTGGCCCCACAGGGAGCTCCACCGACGGCCCCAGTTGTGCCGCCCGCATGCGTCACCCCCGCCCAGTACAGCGTTTCGTGGCCCCACAGGGACCTCCACCGAAGGCCCCAGTGGTGCCGCCCGCATGCGTCACCCCCACCCAGCACAGCGTTTCGTGGCCCCACAGGGAGCTCCACCGAAAGCGGCACCCGCAATGCGATATTCACCACTGCACATGGTGTGGTCCTTCGCCAGGATAATTTTTCTGGGGCTTCTATTCGAACAGTCCCGAAACAATGATTTTCGAGACGCCGAGCTGAAAACGCAAAAGCAACGCCCTGGTCACATGTAAGGCAAACCAGGCGTACTGGCCGTAGCCGTTCTAGTAATAAAACGTACCTCATGTTGCTAGTGGTACGGATCATATTCTTATTACAGCCGATACTTGTATTGACGCGATTACGAATCAGAGTAATACTGATTGATGATGCCACAGCCTTTGCTATTATTAATATTAGTACCACTATTCCGGATCCTCACACTACGATTCATACTGCTAGTTCTATCATCATTATTATGACCAAACGAAACGAGTAAACCACCACCACCACCACCACCACCACCACCACCACCACCACCACCACCACCACTA